ACTAGACTCAGTTTCTTTGATTGCAAAATGTCCTGCCTAGTTACCAGGATGCTATGAAGTAAAATGAGAAAATGCATTAAGATTGATCTTCACAGTGTCATAATTCTTCAGACCCTACCTGCCCAGAGGACATATCCTATCTCCAGATGCTGGCCAAATCACCAGGCTGGCTCAATGTCACTCTGAAATCAAGGGCCACAAGGGCCACCAAGGATCAGACTATTTCCCAGGAGAGTCAGAGCATCTCCACAGAACTAAAGCACAGACGATCATAGAGACCACACTCACACCGTAAACTCTCACCGTGAGCCCATGCCAGAGCCAGTCCAATGCCAGCTTCCCTTGTGTGATCCCACACATACCATGGATGCCTTAGATTTTGAGTGTAAGGATGGCTGAGCACCATCAAATTAACCTCGAGGAACAAATACCTTGGGCAGCAAGTGATCATTGTCAAGTAAGGGACCCAGGTGGACTTTTCTCTAATGTAAGGTTGACAGGTTTGCACCATTGATCCTATGATGGGTTTGTGTCTTGCTCATTCCTGAGATGCCCCCAGGACATGATTTTTCTTGTTCTGGTTCAAACTACATGGTTTATTTTTAATGGTGCTAGTCTGTTCAGCAACTATCCCTCCCGGCCCCGGCTTTACATGTGATTCTTTTCAGGCCAAAATCTAAGCTTTGAAATCTTTCTGGTCTGAATTTTATTCTTGATTCTCACTCTAAATCAGGCTAATGAAGCCAACAGTACCCAGGCTTGGCCTGAATATTGGGGTGCGTTGAAATTTCCTGTTGCAGATCAGTTTCTCAGCCACATTTACATTCAGCCTCACAAAAAGTCTTAGGACATGAACAAAACATAGCCAAATCTGTTTGGCCAGAGGGTAGCACACATGGCCTTTAGCCCAATCCTTTAGGGAGCTGTCATTCCCAACTGAAAATTGGTGAGCCTGGTCCTTCCTGCTTACATTTCTGTTAGCATTCTGATCTTCAGAGGGCCAGCCAGAATCACCCATCAGAGTCTGCTCACAGATTTTAGACTGTCTCTAGCCTGCTTCAGCAAAGTTTTCCAAACACCTCCAGAAACCATTTCCCAAAGTTTTGCACCACAGGGTTATGAGGAGTGACAGAAACAACCCTGCTTCTTGTTACAGATTTTCTCTGTATCGACCAGCTTTCCTTTTCTGGGACAAAACACCTGACACCCACAGACTGAGGAAGGACAGGCTTATTTTGGTTCTCGCTTTCAGAGATTCCTTGCCATGGTCTGTTGGCCCCAAGCTAGAAACCTTACGGCAGTAGGGTGTGTAGAGGAAAGGTGCCAGCGCATGCATCTGAGCAGCAGATCTGAGGAGAAGGCACCAGAGAAGAAGGAATCAGATCGAGTCCTCAAGATGACACTCTCATGACCTATGCAGATGCACACACAAGGAAGTGTGCTTTCTTAATCTCTTAGGCATCTCTCAAGCCAATCGTGCTGCAATCAAAATTAATTGTTAAAATGACTCTTAGATTCTAAGGAACTGTGTTTGGCACAATCACATAGAGTACTCCAGCCACAAAGTCCCAGTTTTCCCAGAACCAAGAGATGGAGCAGGTTGCCTGACACTGAGCCAGCCCCTACTGGGACAATGGCAGCCCCAGGATCTGGTGACGCAGAACCCTGTCCTCCCAGCTCCATTTCTGACCCACCAGAAACATCAGTGTGGACCACGCTGCGGAAAGGCTTTTTTTTTCACTAGGCTGTTTGGAAACCTGGAGCTTGAGCTCAGCAAGAAAAATTCATCAGTGCAAAGAGGGAAGTGAGCACTACAAAACAATCTAGGTGACTAGAGGAAAGCTTTAGTTCCTTTTCTGTGGTTTGTCAGGTTGTCGAAAGTATTAGTGAAATCCATCTTCTGCCATGTTTTAAAATAGATTCATCATCACAAAAACAATCTATTCACAAAGATTCTGAAGGAGTCTGAGCACAATAGGATTTGGCTTTTTATTTTGTGAAAGAGAAAATAAAGAAATTTTCAATATTTTCTATACCAATATTTGTATGTTTCTATACACATGTAAGTCAACGTTAAGGATTTGTGCTTTTAGACATTGCCCAATAAGGAAAAATGTTGCAAGTCATATTTTGAAGCAGGCCTTGTGGACACTAGTTGGAGAATAAAACTTGAGGAATTAGAGACAGGCAAGGAGACTGTGAGGCCACTGCAGTCATGCAAGTGACAGATGCTGGTCACACTGGATCAGAGAAGTACTTCAGGTACTGAGTGAGGACCTAGTGGTACGAGTGTAGGGTGCGGGAAAAAGATAAGATGACACCATGCTTTTGTCACTGGAACAGGTGGAAGAATAGAGATGAGACTGATTGGAAAGAGAACACTCTGTGGGAGCGTATGGAGATGGCTGAAATTTAGACACATCAAGCTGGAGATCCTACTTGATCTCTAATGCCCACAATCAAGTAGAGATGCCATATAAACAGCTGGACATTTACAATATGAAGTTCATTGGAGGTACCCAGGCCAGAAAATTTGGAGTACCCAAAGGATTTCAAACCATAAGGATCCACTAACTGCATTATTTTCTATTCCTTAGACTTAATATCCTAACACAAATGAAACTGATCTTATCGTCCTGGAGGGCAATACATGGTGAATTCCTAAAGTAAAACTACATTATCTTAAGATTGCATTTCTGAAAAATAATTTTAAAAAATTTTTGTATGTGTGAGAAAAAATTGCATTTCTTTCTGTAGACTTAAGGGAAAATTTGTTTTGTCCTGATAAAGGTAGTTACCAGGATGCCTTTCTCTGCAGTGATAAAACTGAGGCCCTCATTTTCTTGTTGGTTATAAACTGAGGCTCTTTTGTAGAAGAGCACTACATTCCCATGTCACTTGCTTACTACATCTTGAAAGCCAGTATCAGTGAGTGGAATCAGTTTTACATCTTATCTAACTCCCTTTTACCTATTGCTTGATTTTTTGGGACCACTCAGGTAAACTTGATCATCTTTACATCTCAAAGTTTTGTTTTTGGTTTTTTAACACTGAAGACATCTCTCAAGTCAGTTTTGCTAAGGTAGTCACAAGGTCTGAGGATCAGTGCACGGCCCCAATAGTATAAAGTGACTGAGTGAAGAAAGATGGTCTCACAGTGAACCTAAGGAGAATCAGGAATGCAGATGTGGGCAAGAATAAAAGAAGGTGGTAAAAGAAAGTAAAGAGCATCCACTGCATGGGATGACAAGAAAGGTGGGCGGTGAGGACAGTGTTCAAGTGAGTATATGTCAAGTGTTGCTCAGATTCCAAAGAAGATGAGCACTTGGAGCTGATCATTCCAAATAATAATGTGGAGTTCCCTGGTGACCTGGATAAAGGCACTTTCAATGCAGCATTAGGGACGATTCATGATGATGGAAAACTCAAGGGAGAAGGGGATTTCTCTCAAGAAGGTATCCCAGTGGCCATACACAAATGACTAGATATATCACATCAGTATTCATTGGGGAAATCAAAACCATACTCATACACTACTTTACTTTCAGTAGGATGGATGTAATCAATGCAATAGATAATAACAAAACTTGGAATACATATGGAGAAATCTTGCAACATTGCTGATGGAAGTAGACAAATGGTTCAACTAGAGCCATCTAGATAGGAAAAGGATGAGTGGATGAGATTGAATTCTACATAGGAACAGAACAGACAGTGTATCTGTATGTGTAAAAATAGACATAGATACATCATAGATTTATCATGAGAGACTGGCACACAGTAAAACCCCCAAAACACACACTGCCTGAGACCCCTAAAGGAAGCTTACCCAAGGTCTGCAAAGGAAGCCTCAACTCCCATTCACTCATGCAGTCTCCATAAACCTCCAGTTCAGCATCCAGAGCCTGCTCTCATCCCTTCTCTTCTGGTTAGTCAACACCTCGTCACAGGGCTGTGTTCTCAGTAAGGCACACGGCTAACAGAGTTGGGGGGTTTCATGCAGGGCTCCCTTTGGGAAGGTTTCTGGAGGAGAGGAATCAGGGATCACATCAAAGATGGAGGAAGAACCTTGATTGTTTGGCATGAGGATCTTGAGTATGAGGCATCTTGGGGAGGCGCCAGGAGAAGTTTTAGCCCCCAGGTCTGAACAATGTACCCTAAGGCCATCTGGAGCTCTACTAAAGTCAGAGGAAGTGGACGAGTGCAGACTCAGGCTTAGGGTGCAGGTGTCCTGGAGGGCTGGTGTCTCCTGTTTCCTCCACATTCATCATCTTGAAGGCCCGGCCTGGCCTATGAACCTCACTGCTGAGAACAGTGAGCAGTCTCTTTTCATTAGACGTTATTCACCAGTAGCCTAGGAATACAAGAGAGAAAGCTGAGGGATGATAAAGTGGTCCAAGAGGGACCCTCTTACCTCAGTGTCCAATAACACACACTGCTCAGGAATTCTTCAAAGCACCCAGCACTACATGTGGCAATTAAATGTTCTTAGTTAATGCTGCTGAAGTTTACCACATTTCCCCAAATGTAAGACTTAACTGGAAAATAAGCCCCAGCATGATATTTCAGGATGCTTGTAATACAAACCTCCCCCCAAATTAGCCCCAGCTGAGGTTATCAACAGAGAGATTCACTTAATATAGCTGTTACAGCACACCATGGACATACTGAATTATAAAATAATAATGTTAATGTATAAGTAAATATGAATAAATATTATTTTTGGCATTATGACTTAAAAGGAGTGATGATATAAATTATAAAGAAGTATTTATGAATACCCAAGGGTTT